TATGTATGTATGTATGTATGTATGTATCCAGGGAGGGGTGCTGTGCACAAAGTTAACCCAGGGAAGGGTGCACCCCTTAGAATTAAAGGGAAAAAACAGTACTGGTTATCTTCGAAGTAGGGGCACAAAGTGGAACGAGGAAGGGTTCGCACCTCCTGCCCCCCTCCCCTGGATCCGCCCATGCGACTGATGAAGCGTCCACCAAAATAGCAGTATGCATAATGCAACTCATTTCTACAACTCTGGAAAGGCTTATAGGTCTTTTGCTACGTAATTCACTGCAAAAGTATTGTATTTTTTTACATTGCAGCTGACAACAAGTACAGTCAAGATGCCATGAATGAATCATTTCTCTTGTCTAATATTGTACCTCAAAACTCCAACAATAAYGTTAAATTTTGGTTTCGACTCGAAAGTTACTGTCGAGGCCTTACGAARCGCTATTCTGATGTGTATGTTCTATCAGGACCTCTATTTCTACCATCTTTCGACTTGGAAAATGGTAGCAAAGTAGTGAAATATGAGGTAAGAGCTCAGTATAAATTTGTTTTAAGAATCCTTTCCCTTCTATATCTCTCTTCAGTATTTTCTTCTTTCCTATCCTCGCCTCCTGCCTCTCCTCCCTCTTTCTCTTCTCCTTTCCCTTTGTCCCGTCTCTGCTCTTCAATGCTTTTCCTTCTTTGCCYGCCTCTCTTACTTAAATTGAAGGGGGAAAGCTCAGCGACATATGCCTTGTTCTTAGGTGATCGGTGATAGCGAAGTTGCTGTACCAACCCACTTATTCAAGGTCATTTTAGCAGACAGAAAAGACAGTCCTCCTCTTCTTGGCGCCTTCGTCGTCCCTAATCAACCAATCAGCGAYGATCGTCAACTGCATGAATTCGAGGTTCCTATAAACACTCTAACCAAGGAATCTGGGATTTCGTTTTTCTCCGATAATTTAATCTCAAGTGCAGGCAACCTATGCCAGGTCGATGGATGCAAAATACTTTCCAAAGAATTCATGGACCGTATATTTCTTGGCAGTAATCTTCGACGTTGTAAGACTCTTGAACAACTGGAAAAACTCTGGAAAGACACAAAAGAAAGAGGTATTACAGATGATAAATCCTTGGCAATTTATGAAGAGAAGATAAAAGAGTTGACAAAGGCAGAGCTCGAGACTGCTGTTTCCAGTGATGATGAAGATAAAAGAGCAAGTGCTTGACACTGATGATGAGGAATGAAAAGCAACCGTGGTCAAGGAAAAGAAGGTCTAGATCTGGGAACGGAGCACTCTCTTCTCCAACTGAGGTTCCCAAAATAATAACTTTACCCCTCCCTCTCGTCCCATAATATTGTTGATTAGTCGTATGACATGTCAAGTAAAGTTAGCTTTGCTTACAACTGATGAACACAATTCCCTATTTGTAATATATTAGTAATTTACATGGTCCTTTAGAGAAAAAACAAAAAACAATTCAGCCAGAGAGGGCACGTAGAAAGTTGCTTCCGTTTATAGTGCTGACTAGGACATACAACTAGTAGTATAAAACGACTAGCATAAAATGCAATGGCGTAACGACAATACGTACAAGGATAACAACTAATGGTATCTAAACAGCGTATAATAAATTTGAATAAAAATATACCGTATTGCCTCTATTAAGTCCCCAGCCTCCAAAGACTTGACCCCTCCTTTTAATAACCCCAAGTCTGAGGCGCCAAAAATTAAACAATGCTCCAGCCTCTAAAAGCCTCTAATAAGCGCTAAGCGCTGCCCCCCCTAATAAGCTCCTAGTCGGGGTCGTCCTTCACAAATTTGCAAGATGTGATCCTATTACAAGGTACACATAAGAAGAGGAAATATGGTATTTACAAGACCTTCGTCAAAGGTCAAGACTGCGATTGTATCAGTATTTACCTTGTTCATGATGTAATAAAGGTGTGCAAACTTGTGTAATGCAAATATTCCATTATCGGATGATGTCATACGACTTTCATCTGCTTTCGAGTGTCACGTCGTTTATGCATTTCCACTACTTTTTGATTTAGATTCTGATCATTAGCTGTAGTGGAGACGGTAGCCATGCATATGGATATCTCAGAAGAAAAAACTTCTTATTGTTTCCCTAAGTCTTTGAAATTTATAAATATGTAATTGGTTTTGTACTGAAACTTGCCTTGAAAGGGTCAGTGTGACCCTAAAGCGGAATTACGTGTGTGACCCTAATGACCCTAAAGCGGAATTATCATGCTCAGTTCCTACGCGTTTTCAAGAACGAGGCAAAACATGCATGTTTCGCGGCACTTTTGGGCTTTACTTTCTTTGCATTTCTTAATCTCTTGGGCTGTTAATTCCTCTCGAGAATTATGCATTGTTTTCTTTAACTTGATTTTGTTTTCATTTAATGACTTATATGATTTGTGCAGGGTGATCATGGTTGGTAACTAATGATAATATCTAATAAGTCCAAAAGGGCCAATACACACATGAATACTAGCATGACCGCCCATTGACTGACGTAGTGCTATTTCAAGCTAAAGTATTCTAGGTATAATAGCCTGTCTTGCATGGTCAGTCAAYCGTAGGATAACATGAATGCTAGTACGAGTCAAATGCAAATTCAAATTAGTTTCGGGATCAAGTTGGTCTAGTAGCGAAATTATTCCTCTTGTCGAGTAATACAGTCAGTCATGTCTTTATTTAATAGACGGACCTCAAAGGATAACCATTCGCTGAATCCATACGCTATCGACTCTGGTTTTGATAATCCAGCTCATGATGAAATTGACATGCAAGATATAGTTGAGCAAGATGATCAAGGCAAAAACAAGCCGAACAATTCGCGATTGAAGTACGATCAGAATATGGCATATGAGACACCAGTCGATGGAAAYGTTGTCCATCAAGATTTGTCGGATTATAGTCATATAGTACCAAGCCTTCCTCGACCATTAATTATAGTGGGTCGAAAAAACGACGCTCACGGGAGTAGAATTGTGAATCCATACGCGGTAGATGAAGCGGAGGCCGAAGTTGATCCATCGGGAATCACTAATAGGGGATTATTAAATCAAAGATATGAAGAAGTCAGCGAGAACCCAGGTCATCAATATGCTTATCTACCTAGCCCTAAGAAACCAAAGGACTATGCCCCATCGGGGGAAATCTATCAAGCCGTTTCTGAACTGGATAATGTTCCAAGACATTCGATGGCAAGGCATAAGACTAACAATCTATACGAGCCTTCTTTACAGAAAAAGCAAAGAACACCAAGTCAAAGTACTGATGAAGGCTCTAGGTGTGGCTGTCTGCGAGAAAATCGAATGATCAAACTGTGCTTGTTTGTGATTGCAATACTTTGTCTTCTATGCTTCTTTCTTCTTATTATGGTAATGACAGGACATTTAAGAGAGACCAATGACCAGGCGCAGACCAAAGGTTAGTATACGACTTTATTCATCCGAGTAAACCTTTCTTTTTCTGCATCTTTCATCACTCCCCCCCCACTCCCCGTCACCCAAATCCTACCAAAATTTATCATTTTTCCCCTAACGTCATATAATACTGAAAAATCTCATATTCAAATGAGTAGACAACAGAACTTTAGGTCAGCGGCATTATCAGACTCTGCCAATTCATGGTTTCCCCTCARACAACAGCGAACCAATTACCGTTCCAGCAGTTTTCCCAGTGGAATTAAAATCTTGTCCCACAAAAAACTACGCAGTATCTGTTTTAAGAAGTACGACAAGGATTTGAGGCAATTTTCTTGCAACAGGGCAATAACCAATAGAAACAATTTATGATCAATTTTTCGCTATCATGGTTTAAATTTCTATGAAATATTGTAGRTAATACACGGCTTCTCCACTGTTTTCCCATTTCAGACCACGTGTCATTCCCTAGAGTATTATTTCTTTGTTTGACGGTTRMGCACGAATATGGATACACCTCAAACAAAGAATCTTATTCTCAAGGGAGTGACACGTGGTCTTAAATGGGCAAAACATTTCGTCCAAGTGGATTTGTCCCATTTGTTGAGCTTGTGGGATAGAGCTGAACGGTAACTAGGGGGAGTGGAACCATGGATTCAAACACATAAGCCTATGTTTTAAAGGGGTACATATATATATATATAGGAAAACAAATTCTCAAGGGAAAGGCAGGGATTGAAAAGAGGAACATCGTAGCTAGATAAAAACAGTCTACYCTTCTACCCTGCAATTTTGCCAAGAATAGCGGCAATATAGCTTTGGGGTGTGAATGGAGGTAGCCGATTTTCAGCTAACTACTAATTTCTTGGCCAATTGTATATATTGGCCATAYTAGACTGTGTACTGCGCTCTCACCCCTAACCCCTTAAGGTGATCATGACTAAAAACGATTTCCCCACAGGGGGGAGGGATAAAAGCTGCTGTATTGGTAGGTTATTTAAAACATGAAGAATAGTCAAACACAAAGAACTACGTTTAGAATGTAAGATAGTTTTAAAGGGATATTCGCATTTAAACCTTGAAATCTCGGTTGAATGCTTTTTGTTTAATTGACCAGTCAGTATGGAAAGTGGTGCTATTATATGTTGGATAGTTAACTGAGATTTTAGAGATAAGTGAGATAAGACTTTTATCAAAAGTATAAAGCTGCACTAACTTTTAGGCGACGTTCTAAAAGCCTGCTTCCCTGGTAAAGTTTCAGCTGAAGGGGTGAGGAAGCGTAACCTMTTAGACGTCAATTAAACTAATTTATTTTGGATTTTTGTTAAAAATAAAAATGAAAGCCGGAAACGAGCAAAAAAAAAAGGTTGAAATGGACAGATGGCTATTAGTTTTCTAAAGTGTTGATGGACGTTTACAGCTATTTTAGCTTATCTTTCGGCAAGACGGCCGCGTGGAGCGCATTCTCATGAACACTGACAACAACCTGTAGCCGCGGGAGAYTGAGACTCTCGAAAAAATCAAGATTCCGCATAATTGAAAACTTATGGCAACACTCAAAGAAAGACGAAGTATATACTTATTACAATAAAGTTAGTCACCTGAAAAGCTATAAAGCTGAGGCCGACAAGGATTATGGGGTAGATACATTTTACATGTTTCAACCGATTTGATAACTGTTGATGGACTTGCACATCTTACCAGTAACAGTCCCACCTCTCCTAAGCATCATCAAGCTGCAGGTTGTATAAAAAAAAGCTTTACTCGTTTGAAATGAATTGTCTCCCATGATCCTCTGTGATCTCAGCTTTCTAGGTTTTTGGTGACTAACTTTGTTGAAATAAGTATATATCGAAGTCACTAATCTGACACAGTAGCGAAGTAGAATCAAAAATATAATGAAAAAGAATACAAGTGCTAGCTGTAGTGTGTCACCTACCTGCTTGACAAGACCCGAATTGTAACACCAGGCGGGACTTGAAGCTTGTGACTAACGTGTCTTACTGTTCGTCAAAGCAGGCGGTTTTGTAATTCATTACAAGTGGTCTACAAGTCGCGCGACTTGGTTTTATTGAAAAGAAACCAAATTTGCACCTGTTTTACCGGCTTCGTTTATTTAACACCAGAACCATTAAGACAATACAAGATTCGACGGTKCCCTCAGTTGAGTAGTTTTTCGTGAACATGCTAGAGAACTGAGCCATAATAGCAGTATCCTAGGCTACTACTTCGTGCATTAAAAACTCTCGGAACGAATAAGTTGCGCAAATATAGTAATATATTCGTAGTACGTAAGTACAGTCACGTGGGAGGGGAGTGTTGTGGGGGTGGAAGAGGCTGCGTACGTGTCGACTCTTCGTGTGTTGTCGTTTGTCTTCAGGTGTCTTAGTCTGATGCAATAAAATTTCATCATTATACYTAAGCAAATATCATCTACCGAAACTTTTGATTTTTACCGAAAAAAGCCTATGAT